GAGAGAGAGAGAGAGAGAGAGAGAGAGAGAGAGAGAGAGAAAGAGAGAGGGGAGAGACCATCGGCAACATGAACACCAAGTGATACCTTCAACTGTTCTTGGCCCAGACCTTCCAAGAGGCCCACCAGGTCTCACTGGAAGCCAGAGCCTAGTTTTCCTTCAAAAATACTCTGAAGCTTCCTGCCAGGTCTTGAGAGAGAGAGAGAGAGAGAGAGAGAGAGAGAGAAAGAGAGAGAGGAGAGACCATCGGCAACATGAACACCAAGTGATACCTTCAACTGTTCTTGGCCCAGACCTTCCAAGAGGCCCACCAGGTCTCACTGGAAGCCAGAGCCTAGTTTTCCTTCAAAAATACTCTGAAGCTTCTGCTGCCAGGTCTGAAGAAGTCACCTGGACCTGTGTCATATACATCCCATGTCCTCCTTTACCTCTGCTCATAAGTTATTGGTGTCCCACAGTTTATAAACTGGGGGTATCTGGTTAAGCTGTGTGCTTTGGCCTTTTTAAATATGACTGGTCTGGGGGCCAGGACTCCCTACCAGGTACTACTGTGAACGTTCGAACTGAAGAGAACACAAGACCCAGAGAACTAATGAAGATCTACAGAGAAACCCAGCTCTTCCCTATTTGAAACCAGGGTGTGAGAGTTTCAGTGTTTGCCTCATGTACTCACATTTCTAGCAGGGTGAAGGAAAGATGAAAGTGGGTACATGGGAAGTGATCAGCAAAGGCAACTACTGGGGAAACACAGGCCAGCAACAGGAACCTTCCTGTGTAGGATATAGCATGAGATCAGGAGGAAGATCCAAAGAGGAACATATGAAGGGCAGCAAGGGAGCCTCAGCCACAGAATTAGAATAAACACAGGAAAAATGCAAAAAGCTTCCAGAATAATACACAGTGAATTGGACGCCTCCTTCCTGCTTTCTCAGTCCTTACCATTCTAGTCAATCTTGTCTTAAGCTTAATTACATTTATGCTTTGTATTTTTCTATATTTGTCGGGGTTTAAGGGTATTTTGTTTTCTTTTGTAATTTTCAAAAAAGGCTGCGAGGTGAAAAAAAGCACATATGTTTTCTAAAGCGCTGGCAAATGGGCATTTCTTTCTACCAATCATCAACTTTCTTTTTTTAGTACAAAAGCAACATTTCTGTGCAGAATTTTGAAATATAGAAAAGTATAGAGAAAGTAAAAATTATCCAAATTCCTCCTTTTAGAAATAACCATGGTTTTATTAAAATTTTTTTCTATGCTTATCATAGTTGCTCCAAAAGAAAAGCAGGTAAACGTGAATATAGTTTTATTTTATTGTTAAAATTATACAACATGTACTGCTATGCGCTATGTTTTTATTTTTGCTATGCTGTGAGAATTTTAATATGGCACTAAGTACTCTTTGAAAGCATGATTTTTAACAGCTACAAAATATTTTTAATGACTATACTGTAATTTGTTTTCCTCTTTCTCTAGTCTATGTTATTCAGATGGTTTTTAGTTTTTTCTCAAAAATTGTGCTACCATGACTGCCCCTGCACATAAATCTTTGAGTCACTTTCTACTCATGTCTTCAGGATAGATTCCGAGGCATGAAGATACTGAATTAAAGGGTTGGAACTTCTTCAAGCCCTGTCTCCATGTTGCAGATTCATCCTGCTTCCCACCAGCAGGAAAGTCCATCTTGCTGTTCCCTCTCCAGCAAGGAGTATGATCCTGAAAAACTGTAATCTGTATGCCTTCCCCATGGGTGAGAAATGCAATTTATTAATTTAATTTAAAGCATAAGGGGTTGAATATAGTTTGTGTTCAATTTCAATGTATTTCTTAGATTGTATATTGCCATCTTAAAACAGTGGATGTTAATTTTTTTTCTTATAGATTTGCAGGATTTTTTGTGTTATTAATATCAGTGGGCATCTCATTGTCATGTAGACTACATTTTCCCAAGTTTCTAATTTATCTGATAATTTTGCATATGATATGTGTTGATATTTTCAATATTATTGTGTTAAGTCTATTACCAAATTCACTTTTATTTGTTCTATTTCATTTGGTCTTCGAAATTCTTTCCCCATATTAAGGCAATTTTGTATATCATCAACAAAACATCTGTCAATTGTGATGTTTTTTAAAAATAATTCTGATTCATTGATCTATTTAAAGCTTATTTCACCATGCAGAATAAGATTCTAACTTGTCTCCTGCACCCCACTCTTGCCCCTAAAGTACCTGTGAGGCAGTTAGTTGAACAATCCATTATTTCCACAATGGTTTATAATGCTTTTCTTGTCACATTCAAAAATCTTATGTACTCACAGATTTTTACAAAAAAAAATAGTGCATTTTACAAATTTGTTTGGATATTTTGAAAAATTTTACATTATTTTATTTTATAGTAAAATTTATAGTATATGCTATGCATTTACATATATGTTTATAGTAGCATTATAATATCTGATAGGCCATTTCACATTGTAATATTTTTTATATTTTCAAAATCATTTTTACAGAACGGCACAAATAGAAGCAGTTTGTCCATTTCTTACAATGTTAGACATAAATTTTTCATCTGACCCAGAAATTCAACTCTCGGTATCTTCCCAAGAGAAATAAATAAACTCATAAGTTGACATAGACTTGCATGCAAATGTTTATAGCAACATGATTCATAATAGTAAAAAAATGGAAACAACCCAAAGGTCCATCTAGCTAGTATAAATAGATGAGGTGCACTATATCCATAAAGTACAAATTATTCAACAATATAAGAAGTAAAGTTCTGATACATAGCATACTATGGATAAACCTTGATGACGTTATGCTAAGTCACAAAAGGCCACCTGTAAATATTCCATTTATCTGAAATGTCCAGAATAGAGAACTCCATAGAGACAGAGTAGATGAGTGATTGTAGCTGGTGTGGGAACAGAAAGTGACTAGAAGTGGTTCTGACTTGCCTTTTGGTATTGATGGAAATATTACAAAGTTAGATTCTGGTGATAGTTGCAGTTTGGTAAATTTACTAACAGTCATTGAATTTCACGTTTAATATGAGAGAATTTTATGATACATAAATCATATCTTAGTAAAGCTATGATGTAATTTTCATTATTTTAAAGATTATTTTAGGATCATTTATGGAGTCTTCCAGAAAATTTCATCACTATTACATTTAAGGAAAATAGTTGTACTTCTACTAAAAATTTCGGGCCTATAAATATAATGTGCATTTTATTTCCTTAAACTCTCTATGTTTTATCAAGTAAAATTGTGTTCATCTCTATGCTAAATCTTTCCTGGAGGTAAGACTTACTCACTTGCCTTGATTAGCATTATAAATTATTACCACTAATATTTAAATAAGTTTATTTCACCAATATATATGACATATATATATATAATTATTTACACATTTATTCAATATTCTACTTTATATTTATTTAATCATTTTCTTTTCTAATGGCTAAGCTTTTTAAAAGATTCTCTCATTATTGAAAGTATATAAGTAGAGACTTTAAAAAATTTGAAAGTTTCTTCCCAGTATTTTTTCTGCCTCTTCACTGGCTAGATCTTTCAGCATAAATTAAAGGAATGATGTTGATAGCAGATAAAACTGTTGTGTTCCTGGTTTTAATGGGGATTTTTGTAGTATTTCTCTACTAAGCCTAATGTTAACTTTTGGTTTGTGTTAACTTTTTTATTTTGAAATAATTACAGATGCATGAGAAGTTGAAAAAGTCTTTGCCATGTTCCCCTTTGGAGACATCTTTTTAAGTGAAAAATGTTGTACGATTGGTATTGGTACAGGGTGTATGCACAGTTCTGTATCATCTGTAATAACAGATGTGTCATACGTAAATTGTCATTTGTATAGATTTCTACAACCACCACCACAAATCAAGTTATAGGACTATCTCACCACCAGGATGATCTCCTCCCTCCTCCTACCCCTTCCTGGTCCACCACCCAGCCCTCATGACATAAATCCTGATAGCCACTAATCCATTCTTCATGTGTAATTTGGTCATTACAAGAACATTATATAAGTGATACAGTATGTGACCTTTTGAGACCAGCATGTTTTCCTCACCATCACACCCTTGAGATTCACACTGGTATTCACATGTACTAGTTTGTTTCCTTGCTGCATATTTCCTGGTCTGGATGTACTGTAATTTAACCATTCACCAATATAATATGGTAGGAAATTTTAATTTCTAGTTTTTAGCTATAGCAGAGAAAGCTACTATGAATTGTGTGCAGGTCAACTTTATATGCAGAAATAAATTTTCATTTCTTTGGGCTAAATGCTTAGGAGTATTACTACTGGGAACATATGAGATGAGCTTAGTGTTTTGTTTTGTTTTGTTTTTTTAAGAAAATGCCTATTTGTGTTCCAGAGCAGCTGTCTTACTTTACATCTTCATCTGTCCCAGCACTTCATATTTTTAGTCTGCTTTATCTGTTTTATTAAGTATGTAGTGATTTCTGATTAGTGTCTTAATTTATACTTTTCTAATGATCAGTCATGTTGGAGATCACTTTATATGCTTATTTGCCATCCATACTCTTTTATTAAAATGTCTTTTGTGTCTTTTGCCAATCTTCTCGTTGAAGTATTTAAGTTTTTACTGTTGAGTTCTGGGAATACTTCATGTATTCTAGACGAGTTCTTTATCAGATATGTGATTTGCAAATAATTTCAGTCTGTAGCTTGTCTTTTGGTCTTCTCTCTATAAGGGATCTTTTGCAGAGCAAATACTTTTTATCTTGATAAAATCCACTTTGTGGATTATTTTTTCTTATTGTGAATTGTGATTTTATTGTCATGTCTAAGAATTCTATCAAGTTCTAAAGCTAAAGATTTAATAAAAGTTTTATAGTTTTTTCCCACATTTGAATATATATTCTATGTGCTTTATAAAAGGAGAGAAGATTTAGCAGTCCCCTTGATAAGGATGGAAGAGGCCATTGCACCTGACACCATACATATGGTTAAGGCATTGCCACCTACTTCATGGCATTTAACCACTGTTTTTGAAAGTTGGATGTGATTGTGCATGCCTATAACCCCAGCCCTTGGGAAGTGGAGGCAGGAGAACTGCCTCTAGTTGGAGGCCAGCCTGGGATACATAGTGAGTTCTAAGCCAGCCTGAACTACATAGTGAGACCCCCCGACCTCTCTCTCTCTCTCTCTCTCTCTCTCTCTCTCTCTCTCTCTCTCTCTCTATCTATCTATCTATATATATATATATATATTCCATTTTGAATTGACTTTGTAAAGGTGTGTGGTTCAGGCTTGTTTTTGCTTTCTGGCTATTGACATCCACTTATTTCATTTGTCAAAAATGCTTTCCCTATTGAGCTACTTTTACTTCTTTGTGAAAAATCCCTTGGTCACACATGAGGGGATATTTTTGTTTCTCTATTTCATTGATCTACTGGGGATATTTGAGACATATCTATCCCTCCACCAATACTCCATAGTTTAGATTGCTACAGTTATATGATAAGTATTGAATTGGGGCAGTGTGACTATTCAAAATGTAGTTTTCATAACATTGTTTTTGCTATTCTAGTTGTTTGGCTTTGAGTTACTGGAGATTGAATCCAAGGTATTCCTATCAAGCCACATTCCCAGTCCTTCTAATTTTTTTCTTGAGACAAAGTCTCATTAAGTCACTAAAAGAACTTGTGCTCTTCCTGCCTCAGCCTCCCAGAACACTAAGGGTTAAAGGTGTGTGCCATCATGCCCAAGTTGCTGTTTTAATTATTTTCCTTTCACTTCAATTTTCAGAACAATCATGTCTATATCTATTAAATATCTTGCTAAGATTTTAATGTATATGTCATTAAACCTGCTACATCAATTTGGAAATAATTTATGACTTCTTTGCTGTGTTTTCCAATCCATCATCATATTATCTCTCTCCAGTTACTGTATTTAGATCTTTGATTTATTTCATCCACGTTGTATAGTTTACAGCATACCAGAACTGTATTTTCTTAGATTTACAATTAAGCATTTTGTTCTTATTTAAGAAACCATAAATAGAATTGTATTTTAAATTTTACTTTCCAAGTGCATATTTTTAGTATGCAGCAGTACACTTGATCTTTTTCTGTTGGCCTTATGTCCTGGGACCTGGCTGAGGTATTTCAGTGTAATTTCTATTATTCTAAATTTGCTCTGGATTTTTACAGTCCTGAATACAATAAATCTTGGCATGTCCTCTAGAGAGTTTGAAAAGAACACGTCCTGCTCCAGCTCTGAGTGAGTTTCTATGAAGATAAAAATCAGATTCTGGTTGCTAATGGCGTTGATGAGTTCTTCCCTATGTTTGCTAACATCCTCCTTTATTCTCCTTTCTGTCTACACCGTTTTGATGACTTCAAGTATTTCACACGAGTGGCATCGCCTTGTATTGGTCTTTTTTATGACTGACTTCTTTCACTTAGCACGATGTCTCCTGGATTCATATTTGTTGTAGCTAATGCCAAAACTTCTTACCTTTCTAGGGATGAATGATGTTCTGCTCTCTGAGCTACTTTTTGATGCTTTGGAATTTTGTCCTTTCTGCTCCTTTAAGGTCACTTTAATAATAAGGGGAGATGCTGAGTCTGCAGCTGCTACCCATGTACCATTTTAACCCAGAAGTCAAGACACATGATGGTGTGTCTATAAACGGCACCTTTACAAATCGTAGTTCTATTTCTGAACTCAGTTTCACCAAATAATAGAACAAATAAAGGAAATTCCAGTTTGACTGAACATGTATATTATATAAATCAAATTAGTCATTCTACAGGCAATGTGCAGAACACAGTTTAAAGTTCTATATTTTTACAGAGTTTATTCTATAATTTTACAGTTTTTTAAAGCCCTGATTACCACGGGTACATACATTTGAAGATTTTCCACAAATATAATTCTACATTTTTTACAAAACAGACCCATCAATTATCGTCTGTTGAATTTCTACATAGTTACAAGATTCTTACAATAAATATTATCATTATCATTCACTCCTAGACTTAATTATTGACATATAGAATGGAAAATTGAAAAGTCAAACAAAAGGAATAAAAACACCTAAAGAAAAATTATAATTTTAATGCATCTACTCATTTTAATTGCATAGCAAATATTTTCTTTTTTTAGCATATTGAGCATAAAGACAAAGAGAGCAGAGAAAGAGAACAAGGAAGAAGGAAGGCAAAGAAAGCAGAAAGAGGGAAAGAGCTTTAAAGAGAGGAGGGAAGCCGGGAGGGAGGGCAAGAAAGATCCCAAGTGGCCCTGAGGTGTTAGGTTTCCTATGAAAGGTGGGGTCACTGAGGCTGAGAAGCTCCCCCCACCCCAACTCCGGGAATCATCCAACTGCAAGTGACAAGCAAAGAAAGAAGTCTCAGTTTTCAGTCATTGAATGCCCTGAAAACACAAAGGTCTAAACCCTTCACTGACATTATGTTAGCTCTATTTTTAGCAGCTATATGAACTTATTTTCCAATTGTTTCTGAGGTTTCCTTCACAGAGAGAGAAAGAGAAAATTTCCAGGGGTGAGGAGAACATTTGGCACAATGTAGACCAACAGGGGCGAACCTATGGCACTCATGCCAGTGGGCTGCTTGTATCATTGAAAGCTGTAAACAGTTTGCCATCACTGGTGTAGACAAGAGATAATTTCTGCTCAGAAAACTATCCAAGATACAAAGATAGAAGGTAGAGACCATCACTCGATAGGAGAGGTTTTAAAGCCCTGATTACCGCAGGAACATATATTCGAAGATCTTTCACAAATATAATTAAACCTGAAAGGCTTTTTCAAGGTTAATGAATATTAGGGAAAGTTATAAATTAGATGTTTTTAAAATGTAAACTTGAACATTTTTAATCAAGCTAAAAGAGTTATTTCAATTTCTTATGAAAGCGCATACTAAGATGTGTTAAATCCAGAATAATTTGAGCATCTAAATTTGCACAATGTCTCTATATTCACTAAGTCTTCAGCATAACCACTTTCCACTAATCCTTTGTTAATACTTCATTAATAATCTTAGCACTCATATAATATGACCATGCTCATAGACAGATGACCTTAGTTCATGCCAAAACTATCTTAATGTGGTATTTGGGATAGGACTTGGAAATAAAGTACAGAAATCATCTGAAAATGGAAATCTGTACTCTCCTTAATTAATTCACCCTACGTAAGCTGAGTTGGTCTTCAGAATTCTTACTGGCATGCACTTTGGGTTCATTTTGGCATAGCTTTTTCTTTCGCCTACTTCTCCTATGTCTCTCCTTGCTCCAAGCCATGTTCTGATTGTAAACAACATCAGAGCTGAAGAAGTGTCCTCTTAGGTCAGAAATAAGGGTTTCTTGAGTCATCTATCTTATTGAACTTACATTTTTTTAAAAAACTGGATGGCTTCATGTTATAGTGGAACTTTAATACAACTGGCTTGACACATGAACAACTTGGATTACAACCAGAATTTTAGTTTTAACTTACAAACAAAGTCTTGAGTTATGGCTCAAATGCCAGTCACTTGTGCTTCCAGATGATCTCAGATAATTATTTGACCCTCATAGAGTTCTGGAAGGGATGTTATGACATCTATTTCTATGTGGGGTAAATTGAAAAATCCTGGGCCAATATCTCTCTGACACTGAGAACGGCCTGTACACAGGAGACTTTGAAAGCTGTGTAGAGGAACCCAAGCCTTCAATTGATGAACTCAAGTTATAACCAGCCCTCATGAATGAATTGAGTGCATAAATCAAGGGTCCACTGTACCTTTAAATAATTACTGCATCAATACATTCAAACCATGTTCAGAAAGAATATGCCTTCTCTTAACTCTATGGAAAGTCATCTCTACAACAGTTAGCAGGGTGTCACATCTTCTTTACCATATAGCATCCAAGGAAATACTCATGAAAACATACAGCACTCTTGCCTGGTATGTACTAAATGCTTAAAAATGCTAGAAAAACATTTCAGGCCAGTCATGCACGACTTCATGCATGGGTTAGTGGTGCTTCTATGTGAATAACATCTGATGAAATTAGGTTCTATAACATCAGCTGTAGACGGTGTGGATGGGACTGCATCTGAATCGATCAGCACACACTGAATGCAGTGTTGAGCACTATATGTAGATACCATGCACTAAATGTGACATAGACCATTTAAGGATAAAATTGCCACTCAAATTTACATTATGGAAAACCTGCTTCTAAAATGAGTCATTCACTTGCTCAGTTACCACTGCCAATTTTTCTCTTCCAGACAGCAGGAAAGTTTAAAGATGAATGGTTAGAAAAACATATAGAAGATAGCTAAATCTTGGAAGCATCATATAAGTTCATCAACAGATGAATGGTTAAAGAAAATGTAGTGTTTGCACACAACGGAGTACTACTCTGCCATAAAGATGAATAAACTTGAAGCATTCATACAAAAATGAATGTACCTTGAAACTATAATGTTAAGGAAATAAGTTAGACACACGTGCTTGAATATCTCATGGTTTCTCTTATGTGAAAACCTAAATTATAAATAAAGAACAAAATAAAAGATAGGGAGATACTTTTCAAATGGGAACAAGAGATGAAGGGAGGAATGGGAAGGGGGATGAAAAAAAATCAAAGAAGACAATGGAAATAGAGTTTTTGAAGATGGAAAGAGGACCAAGTGATGGTTGGAAGGAGTAGGGGACAGAAGAGGAATTAAGATGTGAATGTACATGGACCAATTCCCCATGATAAATGTTGCCATTCTGTACTGCAAACATGTACAAATAAAAATAAGTGGAAAATAAATATATATAGCTTTTAAAAACATTATTTCATTTGGGGAAGTGCAGAATACCTTTGGCAATCAACATTTCCACCCCCTTTTCCTTCCTGCAAACCCATAGCACTAAAACATCCTAACTGATTTTATTTCTGCAGTTTGCTCAAGTGATTTCATTCCAAGCTGGGATCTCATGTGCCTAACGTTTAACCTACAGAAAACTCTGCCAGCCTAGTTTTG